CTATTAGTACCAGACTTTTTTTGTTTTCAATTTCACCTCTCATCATCGTCATCCTCTGAAAAAAATTTCAAGCCTCCCCTAGATTCAAATCGTTCCGCCGCCGCTGGTCATGTTTTACAAAAAAACACATTCTTTCTTCATATCTGATAACAGTGAGTATATATGCTTCAACTGTGTCTCACGAGAAATAAAAAATCTACCAAAAGTGATGTGATTTGAAAAATCTTCGATCTTATATCGTTATGATTTTTTTCAGTTTCTGACCAAATAAAAAATTAATTTATTTTTACATTTTGTTCTTATCTCAGTTCAGACTTTTCTAGACCAGTTGGTCACTTAGTTAAGGTTTGAATATGAATCAGTTTTTTTTCTGCCTCGGAAAATTACATAAGATACTCTTGTTACTTCAAATTTTAGATTGTAAATGTGAGTTAAGGCTAGTAAATAATATGAATCAACAATTAAAAATTAAAGATGTCTGGATGAATGGTGGCATCAGTAAAGATCTGTTTTTTCATGAACATGAATTGTCGATTGAAAATGTCGAGCACGAAGCAATTTTACTGGCTGCTATTGGTTCGCCAGATCCTTATGGTAGACAATTAAATGGAATAGGTGGAGCGACCAGTAGTACCTCCAAAGTAGTCAATATTGAGCCCGCTCAAAACACTGATTTCGACGTGAATTACACGTTTGGCCATTAGCGATTGAACAGCCAGTGATCAACTGCACAGGCAATTGCGGCAACCTAACAGCAGCGGTAGCGCACTTTACCATTGAAGAAAAACTGATTAAAAACCCTGTTAAAAATGGCATGCAACTGGGGCGTATTTGGAAAACTAATTTAAAACATGCTATTCATGCCCATGTGCCTGTTCAGGATAGTTTACCGGTTTATAAAGGCAACGATAAATTAGATGGTGTCATCGATACAGCCTGCGCATTTCGTATTGATTTTTTAAATCCATCTACGGATGCCACGCTACCTACTGGCAAATCCATTGATGTGATTAAACTAGATGAAGGTAGCCATATCGAAGCATCGCTGATTAACGCAGGAAATCCAATTATATTTGTGCGCGCTGGTGATTTTGGTTTAACAGATGCTGAGCTGCCTGGCCAATTAAGTCATTCTGAACTGTTGCAAAAAATTGAGCAATCCAACACATTGGCGCATGTGTAATGGACTTCGTTGAACAGCTTGAACAAACAGCTTTACGTCCTGCTACACCGAAAGTGGCCTTAATTAGCAACGCGGAGTCCTATAGCAGCCTGGATGAACAGCAACTGCAGGAAAAAGATACGAGCGTATGTGCGCGTATATTTTCCATGGGCATTCCACATGGCGCATTTACTAATACAGATGCAGTTTCAGTGGGTATTGCAGCTTTAATTAAAGGCAGCATTGTGGCGCAGCATGGCTCCACTAGCAGTGATATGGTGCGCTTAGGGCATCCATCAGGTTTGTTGCTGACTGGTGGTCGTTTGGATGATACTAGTAAATAGGCAGTTGCCACCAGTTTGATTCGCATTGCGCGACGCTTAATGGATGGTCATGTTTATGTTACACTATAAATTTCTAAGCAAGCTTTTAACACGAATAAAAATTCATCGACTTAGCAGGAATTTTCCATTTTTTGGACAACTAGCGGTAGTTTTTCAGAATAGTTAAAAGCGTTTGATAGTATATCCAAAATCTCTATAATACATCTCTTCCCCCCACCGTAAAACAATGGCGTTTAGCTCAATTGTTAGAGCAGCTGGTTTGCAGCTGGGTGTGGGTGTAGGTGTAGGATCAAAGAAGACACCCACATCTACCTACACCCTAATTTCATAACATGATCCATGATACCTTCAGATTTTTTCTTGTCCTTCTACTAAGTTATGCTGCATAAATTCGTAACCGTGGAGAAGTTGAAAACATTCTGACTACTTTCTTCTTTGTCACTGGTGGCAAAAGATGTACTACAAAAGACCATATGAATTTACGTATTCTGATGATTGATATGGTAAATCAAAAGGCGCAAATAATGCAGTCTTACGTTCCTCCGAAGCGGATTTATGCTTCATTGCAAATAGCGCGTTTGATGCGAAGTATAAATATATTTCAAGAATAGCAGCCACAGTATTTATTTATACAAAAAAAATACAAGACTATATCCATACCTTCATCTACCCATTCGTACAGTCATATATGCACTCATCGACGCCTTCATGCGTCAAATTCCTCATCCATCCATTTGCTAAATAAAAATATTTGCATCCATACTAATGTACTAGTATTATTTAGCTTTCAGTCGATGGATTCTTTCAACCGGAAAAAAGGAAGGGGGTTGTTAAGAAGCAAAATTGACATCAGGCGGAAGCTGATTTTGCCTTTCGCATTTCATCATTTCGGCTGTGAAAAGTCTATCTCTATCAAAATAGACTCTTGAATACAAACCATACTGCCTATGAGACGATTTAGTTACTTATCTGTTGTTTACTGTTATTTATATCATATACTGTTAAAAGCACTAGAACAGAGATTGTTACATTGGTAACAATGCGACTCATTCATTCTATACCTCCGAAAATAAATAGTTATTTAGATTCTATTTTGAATGTATTTCCTCTATAAAAATATTTTTTTTAAGTAATTACATATTCTGAAAGTCCGTGGAGTTTTCTACCACACTGTATAATTAGGTTTTAGTTTAGAACTATTCATTATTAAAATAAATTGAATGCAACAAAGGCACCTCCATATCCAGATAAAAGTAATTATATATTCTGATAGAGCTTTCAATTCTTTATCGTCTTACATATATTTTTGTCTTGCCTTGTATTTATGTGATACAATACATAAATGCAAGAGAGTGAAAAAATATACAAGATCATTGGGAATACAAATCTCTATCAGAGTATATAATTACTTTTTTCAAAAAGTAATTCTACAGTGATGAAAAATTTAAAAAGCTGATGTTGATGACAGCAGCAAAATCAAGCCTGTGGGAATCTGAATATGAGGATCCCTTCGTTGCACTCAATTTATTTTGTTAATGAATAGTTCTAAACTAAAACCTAATTATACAGAATGATAGAAAACTCCACGGACTTTTAGAATATGTAATTACTTCTAAAATAATATATTTTCATAGTGGAAATCTATTCAAAATAGAGTCTAACTATTTTTTTCGGGGTATACATGATGCGCGATCGCAATTCATAGTTTTGAAATAAAAATAGTCTGCGTATGAAATGTAAATGTTTTCAAAGCAAATAAACACACTCAGGGGGTAAGTTTTGTTTTGGACTCCCCTATATGATATGTATTTATTTTAATAAGAATCAGTTCTTTCGCCAATCAGCATAAGACCGTTTATTTGCCTTCAAGTATACTTATAACATAGTTACAGGTGAAACAAACACAAATTTATTCGATCCCTGCTGCCGCTATTGCTTCTCGAATCGTCCACAGGTAAAGACACCTATTTCCTCTGACAGAATGATTTTACTTCCCTAGAGTAGTGTCTTTAGAATTATTGAGCAGTGTAGAAGTCGAAAAGCCGACTGTTTTTCAAACTTGCTACCTTCATGTACATATGGCGCTGTCTCTTCATATGATCATCTACATAATTCAAAAACGCCAGAATCCAAAACTTATGAGTGTGAGACAAAAGTAGAAAATTCAAGGCGACTTTTCAACTTTTACAATTTTGGCAAAATCCTAAAGAAAGTGAAGTGCTCGATCCATCAATATATCATCTGAAAGAGCAAAAAGATGCATTTAAAACTCTCGTCATACTAGAAGCCTCGAAAGTTTACGAACTGTCTAACTGTTCAAGGCTTTTGAAAGAAGATTCTAATAGATCCTACTGTTTTGAAAGACTTCAGGTGAAGAAATGGTTTGAAAAAGTTTGAAATTTTCAAGGTTATAGGGTCCACATGTATAAGCGAGACCTTCAATCCAATTCCATTCAACCGTAGGTAGAGTCAAGTCTTCTGATGGCAATGTAAACTACCAGGTTTTACTGAGCGCGACTCTTTTTCAATAGCTTATTTCTTGATGGTTTCTGTATGATAGGCATCTAAGTTGAATGAATCAAGTCGGAGGATTTCAACTTGAGTATATCACGAACATTGCTACGACTCAGTTAAATCTTTGTGTACCGTTGACCTACTCCAATTTGAGTAAATCTGCATGTTTTTGGACCAATATTGTCGTTGATGGAACTAGTTGAAACCATGATTTTCTATTTCTTTTGATTGAACTTTGTCCAAATCGATCAATTTTCATGGATCTTACCTTAATTAGAGGCCATTTCTTTGAACATGAACGATTCTGAATTGTCTGACAGAGCAAACAGCTCATCCAACATATTATTTACTGTATATAATTACAACGAGAGAAAACGCATCACTTGGCTCTTCCGACTTTGGCAATCACTGAAGAATACAAATTCAACTGTTCGTTTCTTTGCACTATTGAATACCATAGTCATTGTTTCCATTATCGTTTTCACTTTATGTTTCAATTTATTATCCAAACACGACGAGAAAACAACAGCATTATTCTCTTCAACCACTTCATTTGTCATGTTACAAAGTAGGATTCAAGCCCTAAGTGATTATATTTTTCGTGATTCCAGTAATAAGCCATTTTGAGCTCAATCTATACTCTAAAGTAATGTCTGAGTAATCTGCAAAATTGTCAAGCAAAATAAAAAATATTTTACTTAGATGGTCACCATGACCCGAAGTCAAAACTGGATATTTTTTATGGGATCAATTTTAAAGATGTGTCTTTTGAAAATGTGACTTATGTACATTGCAAAATTGTAGCTCCATTCTAAGAATTGTAATGTGATCGATCTAACTCGACCTTCTTCAATATACAAAATCTTTGAAAACGATAAATGGCCTTCTTAGATCATAGATCATATAAAGAAGCTGTTAGTTCAATCCTTGCGGGATTAAAATATGAAACGCGATTAACCTATCCCCATCGTAAATGAGAAAATTTACCAACGTGTCTATCACAGTCTGTGAGTGAGGGAGGCGTCCAAATTTTGTACTCTTATAATTCAAAATTCCTTTTAGATCCTGTTTCACTGCAAAATGAGATTTATTATTTGTACTCGAAGTTTATTTGAATACACGTTTTTACTTGTTTCTAGATTCGAATTCCATATCTGACATAACTCGATTAGAAGAGCAATGCGATAGAAAAGAATACAAGGTACGACGCCTGTGTAAAAATAGTGCTAAGTGTGTTGCTCGAAATATTTCGTATTGGGAAGTGAGTTTCATGGTTAAAACTATCCTTTTGAAACATTCAATAAAACGTTTACTCGTTACAGTGTCGACTTGAGAGTAACTGTCCACAAGGTAAGTCGGTTTTTCATTCGGCAACGGGGCAATTATTGTTTCTGATACAGATTGGGCATGTGCCGACGTAGGACACTCCGCAAACTCGTCATTGTCTACGAAGGCTCTCATGGAGCTTCTGAACTCAACAGCATCGAAGATAGATGAGCCTCTTGACTGGACGAAGTCGATCGTTGATCTGATGAAATTGGTGGGTCTGGATTCAGAAAAAGGTCGTCTGAACCAACTTGCCCGTAAGCTTGGTTTTCCAGGTCATGTGTGCGATATGTATGGAATGAATGTCTGGTTACTTAATCAGACATTACAAATATTGGCCAACAATGGTGGTAATCTCTCGGCTGAACTCAAAGAGTGGCAATTGTCAGGGCAGAGCATCTATCCATGTAACAATTCTGGCTGATAACAGTAAAGAAACTGGATTAAACTCGATTTGTGTAAAAATAATCGCTAAAATCACAGTTAATCGGATTATTTCTATTATTCTAGATTAAAATACTCTCGAAAATATCATCATTGGTGTTTTAACATTTTCCATCCATTTCCTCCTTGAACCATACACTCCACTATTCTTTGATTACAATCTGTTTTCGGTACACTCGCAGATGCATCTTTTTTTCCTTCCGTGAATACAATTTGTTTTTTAATTTTCATGATCTGTACGACATATTCTTGAATACAACGTGGTAGCGCGAAGAGAGGCGAAAAAAAAAGAAAGTTTGGATGAAGATCGAAGGGAGTTTTTAATTGTTTGTCTCATGTCCTACAAGCATGATTCAATATCCATTCAAAGTGTGACCTCGATGGACGCTTGTT